TATTTATTGTTTGTAGATGACTATACAAGATATACCTGGATTCACCCTCTTAAGTTCAAGTCTGAAGTTTTCCATGTCACACTTTATCAAATTGGTAGATCAACAATTTGACAGAAAGTTCGATCCTTTCAATCTGATTGGGGTGGTGAGTTCAGACCCTGGCAACTTACTTTACACAACAAGGCATTCATTTCGGCATCCATGTTCCACATTCAACTCAAAATGGCAAGGTAGAACGTAAGCATGACATGCACTGAAATTGGACTTACACTACTAGCTCAAGCCTCCATGCCACTCTTTACGTGGTTGGTTTTTCTAAATATTCTCAATATTGGCTAGTGCAGATATTAGACTGGTATATAAGGTAAGTAGATTAAATAGTTTTACAAATGAATTATATATGCAGTGCTTATTGAATATGTATGATATGTCCCATTCTTCTTAAGAATATTGTGTGGTTTTACTTGAAAATAGGGTTTCAAGGAAGAGGGGCTACCTAACTTTGGACATATTTTAAGAGATATATATGATTTGTGTCAAGGAATAGATAGATAATTAATAAGCAATGTTAGATGCAAGAAGTTTTGATATTGATAACAATATCGTGTGCTTATGAGTATGCTTTCTGGAGTTTCTTTTCCTTATGTGAGCATGGTTTATGTGTGTTGACTGTAACAAGCTTCAGCTAAAGCAAATGAAATTGTTCAGATACTCAATACGTTTTAATTCCTCTTCAACAAACTACAAGTGAACAGAAAAATAGTTGAGCAAGTTGACAAGTTGTAGTGAAAGCTATTATGCAAATTAACAAGTTGCAGAATTTTTGTTATGCAACTTGCATTAAGAAAAGTGATCAAATGGTTATAATGAAGTTTCTGTTGTATTGAATAAACGACTAGGATGATTGTTTACAAGGATCACCTTGATTCTTTTCTCTACAAATTGTAAATGAAGGGATAGTTGATGATAGTGAAAAATAAAATACTTTTCAACTGATTTTTCTTGCTTGCTTTTGCTTTTTGTTTTTGTTCATAACTTCTGGAATTTTCATGGTATCAAAGTTGTATTTGACAAATGTCAAATGGCTGATCCTAAGTCTCTTGCTTCAACTTACATCAATGTTGATGGGAAGGTTTCAAGCTCAGTTTCATCCATTCCTCTGGCAAATGCACTTCCAAATGTTACTGTCAAATTGGGAGAGAAGAACTATGCCTACTGGAAATCACAAATGCTTCCTACGTTGAAAGCCTACAAACTTGAAGGATTTGTTACAGGTGATAAACCATGTCCTCCAGCTCTCATAATCTCTCCTAATGATAACTCTAGGAAGATATGTAGAATAGACTATGTGGAAGAAATTAGATCAATTTTTGTTTGGCTGGTTGATATCCTCTATTTCTGAAACAATGTTTAGACATGTTGCAAATTGTGAAACAACTTTTGATATTTGGAAAACCTTACAGATGCATTTTCTCACTGATTCAAAGGCCAGAATATTGTATCTGTGAAGCCTTCTACAGACCACCAGAAAAGAAATTTTAAGCACCAATGATTATGTACTAAAGATGAAAGAAGTTGCTAGATCTTTGAATGCCAGTGGAGTGATTGTAAACAATGAAGAGTTGCTTATGTATATTCTTGATGGCTTCGGAACTGAATATGATGCAATAGTAGCAAATTTAACCTCTCGAAGTGCAGATGTCTCCCTATAAGAAGAGTAATTCCTGTTACACAAGCATGAGATGATATTGGAGAAACAACAATCTGCTCATATAGGATTTCATGAAGCAGTTGCCTTCCTTGCAAATTAATAGACTGTGAATTCTCAACCACATCATCCAAACTTCAATGCACCAGTTCACCAATCAAACCAACCTGTACATGCATTATTCCAAGGGCAGATTGAGTCATGAAACTTCTACTCAAATAGTTAGGACGTACACTTAATAAATACAGGTTTTGGAAAAGGCCGTAGTAGAGGCCAAAATTTCTATAAGCCAAGAATGATATGCCAACTATGTGGGAAAGCAGGACACATGGCACTTTAATGCTATCACAGATTTGATACAAATTTTCAAGGTACTTAGAACCATAGTTATCAACTTGCACCAAACTACAATAACTCTGCACCAAACTTCACTTCTGCGCAAGCTTACTTTGCAAATACACATTCTGTGCCTTTCTATACAAACCAGTCATCTATGATTCCCACGAGTATGATAAGTGATCAACCTTCATCACTAAAGTACCAATCAAATGCATCAAATTCACATCAACAACATTCTTCAAGACCATATACACACGACTTTGAAACAATTTTTGACAATCATCATAAAGAAAGTTCTACAACAAATTGTTCTTCACAAATAGCTTCACCTCTCACAATCACGGATCCAAATTGGTTCATTAACTTTGGAGCAACTCACCACATTACTCTTGACTTACAAAATTTGTCTCTGAAAATTCAATACAATGGTCCAAAAACTTTATAAGTTAGGAATGGGCAATGCCTTGGTATTTCTCATACAAGTTTGACTACTTTTCCCTCAAATTGTCTTAATAGGTCCCTTTATCTTTGAAACATACTTTGCATGCTTCCTATAACAAAGAATTTGCTCAGTATTTCTAAAATTACAAAAGATAATAATGTTGTTATGGAGTTCTCTGCTGATGGGTGTATTATTAAGGACAAGCTGTCCCAGGAAATTCTGCTTCAATGATTTATGAATAATGGACTATACCAACTTGCAATACCAACCACCGGATGTGTCACAACTAAACCAGATGAAGTCTCTCTGCACAACTCTTTTAGGCAACAATCTCTTCAGTCTATTGGAATGTTTCCTCAGCCATCCTTGCATGTTAGATATAGTATTTTAGCTAAGAATAACTCTGAAAATAATGCCACTAAACTAGCAGAAAGTTCTCTAGCTGTAATAGTTGACAATGCTATTTTACTTTGGCATAGAAGATTAGGCCACCCGTTTGTCCTTAGAATAGTTGTGAAAACATGAATGTAAAACATCATGCAGAAATCAATAAAGCTCGTTTTTGTGAAGCTTGTCAATATGGAAAACTTCATCTAAATATTAGCCTTTGTCTTCCTCTCAATCTCTTAAACCCTTTGAATTGGTGTTTGTCGATGTTTGGGGACCAGCTCCAATTGCTTCAGCCTCCGGATTTCGATCCTATTTATTGTTTGTAGATGACTATACAAGATATACCTGGATCTACCCTCTTAAGTTCAAGTCTGAAGTTTATTCCACTGTCATTCACTTTATCAAATTGGTAGATCAACAATTTGACGAGAAAGTTCGATCCTTTCAATCTGATTGGGGTGGTGAGTTCAGACCTCTGGCAACTTACTTTACACAACAAGGCATTCATTTTCGGCATCCATGTTCTCACATTCAACATCAAAATGGCAAGGTAGAACGTAAGCATTGACATGTCACTGAAATTGGACTTACACTACTAGCTCAAGCCTCCATGCCACTTCGTTACTGGTGGTTCACATTTCATACAATAGTATATTTGATAAATCAACTTCCCTCAGCTACCTTGATGCATAAAAATCCATTCTAGATGTTATTTGATAAAGCACCTGATTACACAGCCCTCAGAACTTTTGGTTGTCAGTGTTTTCCCTTCGTCTAGACTTATCAAAAGCAAAAATTTTCTTTTCATTATGAAGAATATGTCTTGTTAGGTTACAGCTCTAGTCATAAGGGCTATCTATGTTTATACAATCATGGCAAAGTTTACACTATACGAAGTGTAAAATTCAATGAATGTTGGTTTCCTTTTGCTTATAATTTTTCAGAAACAACCTCTATCCCATTGGATGCATCACAATCAAACTCCATACACACATCTTCCTCTTGGAAACTTCCTATACTCTCTACCTTTCCTCAAACTTTTTCCAAACCACCTCAGAATGATACCATTCCCAGACCATCTGCTGATACCTCTTCACTAGTTTACACCTTTGATTCACCATCAGTTTCCTCTTCCACACACTACTCCCCTATACATTTGGAGGTTGATCTTCGTCCAGAAAACTTCTCAACCTCTGCACAACTTGTAGCACTAGTAGTAATTCTTGACAATCTTATTCCTAAAGTTTAAAACTCTCACCCTATGATTACAAGAGCAAAGGTTATTGCCCTTCTCAACTCTACCACAACCGAAACAACTGTAGAACCCTCATCAGTCTTAGCAGCTCTGCAGAATCCTCTTTGGCATGCTGCTATGAAATCTGAATTTGAAGCCTTACAGAATAACACCATACCTGGTCACTTGTACCCTATTCTCTTGATATGACACTAGTTGGTAACAAATGGGACAAAACACAATGCTGATGGCAGCTTCCAAAGATGTAAAGCTCGACTTGTTGCAAAGGGATTCTGTCAAACCCCTGGTGTTGACTACTTTGAGACCTTCTCCCCTGTTGTCAAGGCTTCCACCATAAGAGTTATCCTCACCTTAGCAGTTTTTCATGGCTGGGATGTGTAGCAAGTGGATGTAAACAACACATTTTTTAATGGAGACCTCTTCGAATATGTTTACATGACACAACCTGAAGGTTTTATTGACAAAAATAATCCCACCTATGTTTGCAAACTACATAAGGCTCTATACGGATTAAAGCAAGCACCTAGAGCCTGGTTTGATAAACTTAAGGCTGCTTACTATCTCACGGTTTCCACAACTCAACTTCAGATTCCACTCTCTTTTTTTGCCATCAAGGTACAATTAAACTCTACATTTTAGTCTATGTGGACGACCTAGTGTTGACTGGTAGTGATACTAAATTAATGCAGCAAGTTGTTCATGATCTTGACAACACATTTGGTCTTAAAATCCTTGGTAAGTTACACTACTTTTTAGGCATTGTTGTTCATCACACTCCATATGGTTTGCTCTTAAATCAAAGCACCTATGCTCAGGATCTATTAGCCAAATATGGAATGCAAAACTACAATTCTTGCTCCACCTAGATGATAATTGGTTCTAAATTGGCTTTTGAAGACAACCCACCTTTTGATCACCCTTCAACCTATAGAAGTCTTATTGGCGCACTCCAATACCTTACACTCACACGTCCGGACCTGTCCTTTGTGGTCAACAAACTTAGCCAATTTCTTAAAGCTCCAATAGTGAATCATTGGCAAGCCTGCAAGCATGTTCTTCGGTATGTTCAAGGGCCCCTTCATCATGGTTTAACTTTCACCAAGAGTGACACCTTACAGTTGGAAGGCTATGCTGATGTTGACTGGGCAAGCAACATTTCTGATCGCAAATCCACCAGTGGATATTGCATCTTTCTTGGTTCCAACTTGGTTCAGTGGAGTTCCAAAAAACAAGCAGTTGTGGTCTTGTCCTCTGCTAGAGCCGAGTATAGAGCTCTTGCCCAAGCCTCTATTGAAATTGCTTGGCTTTAAAATTTATTTCAAGAACTTCACATTTCTCTCCCGAGCATTCCTGTTCTATGGTGTGATAACACCAGTGCGGGAGTTCTTGCTTCTAACCCTGTCTTTCATGCCCACACAAAGCACATCGAAATCGATATTCGCTTTGTTCGTGAGATGGTTTGCTCTAAACGACATGTGGTTCAGTATGTCACTACTGCTTTCCAAGTGGCTGACATTTTGACTAAACCTCTTTCAAGTTCTCGCTTCTGTACTCTTTGAGATCAACTTCACTTAGCCACCTATGTCCCCTCTTCTTCATTTTTTGCTTGAGGGATGATCAGAATTAAGGCAAGCATCAAACTTCGAATTGAGGGATGTTCAAGAAGATAAAGATTGGTATCAAGCCTAGCAAATTTAAGTTAGCTTGGTTGTCTGAAATAACTCTGATTTTTTTTGCTTGAACTTAAGCTTGAGAGATGATGTTGACTGTAACAAGCTTCAACTCATGTAAACGAAATTATTCAGATGCTCAACACGTTTTAATTCCTCTGCAACAAACTGCAAGTGGACGAAAAAACAGTTGAGCAAGTTGACAGTTATGCAAGTTGACAAGTTGCAGAATTTTTGTTATGCAAATTGACAAGTTGCAATGCAACTTGCATTAAGAAAAATGATCAAATGGTTAGAATGAAGTTTCTGTTATATTGATTGAAAGGCTAGGATGATTGTTCACAAGGATCAACCTTGATTCTTTTCTCCATAAATTGTAAACAAAGGGACAGTTGATGATAGTGAAAAATAAAATACTTTTCAGCTGATTTTTCTTGCTTGCTTTTGCTCTCTGTTTTTGTTCATAACTTCTAGAATTTTCAATGTGGCTTCAATCAGGAGAAGAACTCTTTTACAAAGCTTTCAAGGTCTAAAATTCAGAAAGAATTGGAGACTACAAAATGAAACATTTGGAGCAAATGATTTTGTTATTAATTATTATGTGACTTTCTTTATGAATTTTGTTATTGAATTTGTAATTAGTTGAAAACAACATGGTCGTGGGATTGTTATTGAATTTTTAAATTTTTAGGGTTCATGTTGTCATGTTTATGTTAGCATGATGATTTCATCGGTCGGACTGTTCGATTGCTCGGCCCGGGAGTTGGTCGCCTGCCCAGGTCACTGCCCGAGCCAGGTTTCAAAACATCGGGTAAGATTAAATGATGTAGCAATAAAAACTGATGTTAAATAAACTAATTTGTATTCATAATTTGTATATATAACCTTACTATACCTAGATTATATATGAAATCAGAAATCATTGACCTTACAAAGATACACTAGATTTTATTAATTGGCATCTTGATGGGGCTTATATAAGTTTATAATGTTGATTAAATTCATGATTATGGATAAAAGGAGAATAAATTAATTGTGTAGAGATATTATTTCTCTTAAATATATAGTGAAGTTGATTGATGATATCTCCTTCCTTTGAAACACAGGCAATACCACTTATAAAAGATGGAAATCTGGACCAAGTGAAGGATCCCAGATTGATGGATGGTAATAGTGATAAAAAGATGATTCAATATATGGGAAAGGCTGCCTTGCTCTGCCTCAAATTTGATGATTCACCTCATCCCCGACCTTCAATAAGTAAGGTAAGATGAATTTAAAGAGAGTAATTTTTTTATATATACATGTACAATGGCGGAACCAGGAAATTACATATAATGGCTACAGTGTAACGCTCAATGAATGAGAAGACCAAAATATAAAAAACTGTTTATGAAATTGCACTTAGAGGGGGTCAAAGGGTAAAGTTTAATGAATAGGCGTGTCCAAGTAATATTATGAAATTTAAGGGATAAAATTATATTTCTACATGAAATTTTAAAATTTTTATTTGGATTTGGAGGGTAGTTCTGCCATTGTACACGAAAATTCTTAGGTGCGGATTGTTCATACTTTTCACAAGGTAAACAGTCATTAGTAAAAAATTCTAACTAATTTATTTATTTATTATGGTAAATAAGGTATGATATTTTAAAAATATGTGACGTTCCCACATAGTTTTCATGGTAGACATTTGTATTTATTTCTTAATTCTTACAAACCAATAGGAGTTTATTTTTTATTACCTGAGAAGTAAATTCTTCAAAGAGCAAACTTTTGTAAATTTCTATCAACTACAAGTTCGCCTTGAAAAAAAAGTTATATATATATAATATCTATATTATAATATATATATATATATATATATAGAGAGAGAGAGAGAGAGAGAGAGAGAGAGAGAGAGAGACTATAGTCAATCTTAACTATAAACGTCTTAAAATTTTGAAAACGTGTGTTGATCAAAGATAAGAGATCAGTTGCTAGCTTAAAAATTATGACACAATGCTTACTATGATTTGTGCAGGTTTAGCAGTGGCTCGAGGTGATCAACTTGCCATCAGCAAGTGCTCTCTATAGAAAAGCACTGCTTAAATTCATGGACTGACAAGAAGATAAGAAAAGGAAAGAAAGAAATTAAATTGTTTTTTTCAACATGAATAATCAGTACCACTGAATCGAATGAGTTCCCTTCACTGTCTTGTTATACGGAAAACAATTGCTCGTTAATTTCCTACTTTATTTATGCAAACTATTTCCCAAGACTATCAAAACAATTGCCATTTTTATTCAGAGTTCTAAGTTTACAGAAGTCTCAGCAGTTTGTGTGTGCATGTATCTTTTGTGAGTAAACAAATCAGGTACCAATTCCAGGCAGGATTCAAGCATCTACAACTCAAATCAAATGCACAACACAAAATCATTTTAAAATGACAAAAGAAGTTATTTGTAACAAGAGAATCACTAAATTACCAGGACTCAAGGGCTCGAGCCCTCGGTTTCTTTCTTTCTTTTTTTCAGGAACTTCCCAAATCTAATGACTGTACTAGACCGACACGGTAGTGTTTCCCTTGTAACAAAATTCTCTCATTCACACCACTATTTCAGGAACCAAAACTTCACTTCTGCTTAAAAAATCAGTATGAAAGATAAAAGACTAACACAAATGATATATTAATTTGAGAATTTGTTGCAACAGTTTTGCCCCTCAATCTGCATGAGAGAGAGAAGAAACCAAAGGCAACAGTTTCATCCTAAACTTCTTTTGTTTGTCTATATTTATAAACAAAACGTTGTAACAGAGACCCAGCTCTAAATTTCTCTAAGGAAAGCATAACAACAGAGCGCCAAAGATGATATCCAAGCTTTTGATATTGGTGACAACTGTATTCACATATTTCATCCTTTCAAACTCAACTACCATTGCAGAATCATCCATCCCTTTCACACGTTTCTTTGCTGCATATGCTTTAATATTCACAATACTGTATTATGGTATAAGATCTAATGGTGTTTACCTTGTCGACTTTACCTGTTACACACCGGGAGATCACTTGCGAACACCGATCTCCAATTTCGTTGAACATTTAGAAGTAAGTGACATCTTTAATCGAGAGAGCCTCGATTTTCAAGTGAAAGTTCTTGAAAGAGCCGGCGTTGGTGATGAAACCTGCATGCCTACTGCTTTGCATGAGATACCACCTAATGTGACTTTGAAGTTGTCTCGAGAAGAAACTGAAGAAGTTCTCTTCACAGTTGTGGAAGATCTTCTTTCCAGACATAAAATAAATCCGAAAAGTATCGATATTCTGGTGTCAAATTGTAGCCTTTTCTGTCCTACTCCTTCCATTTCCAGCATGATCATAAACAGGTTTGGACTCCGAAGTAACATAAAGAGCTTCAGCCTAAGTGGGATGGGTTGCAGTGCTGGAATGCTGTCGATAAGCCTGGTAAAAGATCTTCTTAAAGTTCACAAGAACTCATTGGCTTTAGTTCTCAGCATTGAAGCTGTAACTCCCAATGGTTATAGGGGTTGTACTAAGTCCATGCTTATCGCCAACACTATATTCCGCATGGGAGGAGCAGCTATTTTGTTATCAAACAGGCACAAAGACAAGCACATAGCCAAGTACAAGCTCCAGCACCTCATCCGAACCCACATGGGATCCGATGACCAATCGTACTTGTCTGTCATCCAACAACAAGATGAAGATGGGGAAGTAGGAGTATCGTTATCACGATCTCTAGTACCTGTTGCAGGCAAAGCATTAAGGACCAATATATCACAGTTAGGTCCGCTTGTATTACCATACTCCGAGCAGCTTAAATACGGCTGGTCAGTCATTCTCCGGAAAATTTGGTCTGTACCTGGAAAAAAGGAACTTCATGTGCCAAATTTCAGAAAAGCTTTTGAGCACTTCTGCATACATGCTGGCGGAAGGGCTATAATTCAAGCTGTGGAGGATAATTTGAGGCTGCATAAGGAAGATGGAGAAGCTTCAAGGATGACACTTCATAGATTTGGGAACACTTCATCTTCTTCAGTTTGGTATGAGCTTTGCTACCTGGAGGCGAAAGGAAAGATGACGAAGGGAGACCGGGTTTGGCAAATTGCATTCGGAAGTGGCTTTAAGACTAACAGTGCTGTCTGGAAATGTATTTCAGATCTTAATCCAGATGTAAGAAATGCATGGTCAGATAGAATCCATTTATACCCTGTAAACATTCCAAGTATTCTCTGAGGCTCTGATGTTGAAAATCATTCTTGAACTTACAAGGATCCTTCTGTATATCCCCAACAATATTCACCTAATATTATAATCTATCTCAAGACAGCTATTATGCTGACAATAAATTGAAGTAATCTTGACCTTGAGAAAAGATAAAGGTTAAGTATCCCAACATCTAACTTCAGATCTTCATGGTAAGTAGTTTAGAGCCTAAATTTAGATCAATCTAATCCTGCCCAAATCCTAATCTTCCATGTACATCTTAATTTCTTCAATACCCAAGATATAACGGTTTGCACAGTGAGATTTACAAATTCAAAAGTATTAGCAGGAGATGCCAGATACTTTGGCAGCCGTTTTATTCTCAACAAGTCGGAAGTTAAATATAATGGCTGAAATTTCAAAGATGCTACAGAAGTGTTTAAACTCTGCTATTTGGAACAAAATAATGGTCATGCAAAGCATTTTTTGGCCCACAAGAGATAATCTACCTCTTAAAATCTGACACTACCATCAATAACTTTAATACAGAAGAAACACATCAAGTATAAGTTGCAGCAGTAAACAATTGTGCAGAAACAGCTTTAAATTAAACTACAAAAATTACTAGACTATCGTCCTCCAAATGAAATTTTGCCACATTCACTTCAAGGGGAAAAGCCAAAATTCCACTTCACTACTTGCTTCCTTCCAAAGAAGAGTGGTGATCTTCTATCACAAGATTCTCTCTCCTGTCAATCGCTGCTTCAAAATGCAATTTGCCAAACCAATTTTGCTGCAATTGCAGTTTATGAAGTATACAGGCATTGTTGGCATACAAAATTGATTTCAAAATTTCAGAAAATAATAATGGATCATTCATAGGTAGATGAACTGTCCATCTCTTAACGGTCAAATCAGTAAACAGCTTGAGATCCCAAAAAAGCTATCAAGACAACTGATTACATGAAATGGTTAGGAGAGGTTTTTATTTTTATTTTTATTCATTAATCTAGTGTAGATACAACAATGCTAAGAATTTACATTAGCCAATCCTTTGTGGCTTGTTGGACACATTAGGTTTAACCAAAACCTGGCTAAAACTTACTAATTCTAATATACAAGCAGTTGAATGCACTAAGCATATATTAATCACCAACCCCGGACCCAATGAGCAATTTTATAGCATGAAGGGGTAAGACATTAATTTCTGATGGTTCTTGGCCGGAGAATACAAAAGAAAGATAAAGAGAACTCAGAGCATATGTGCGAAAGTCTATGATTTTCATTGAAGTTGATCAATATAAACATTAGCTTAACAACTCTCTGCTGATTCAACAACTATAGTAGACATTACAAATTTAAATTTAAAACTTAACAACTAATATTTCATATAATACACACCATAATATTGACTTAATTACACTTAAGCCATTCAACTACAATACACTAAAAATTACAGCCATGACCGTTGGACCACTATAGCAAACTATCTTCAACAGGCTTAAAAAACAATTCCAACTGAACCTGCAATGTTGATGCATTTCCAGCAAAGTATCACTGCATCAACACTCCTCCTTGATACCTTCGCTGGAAACACCAAGTTTGAGTCTAAGTTCCTCAAACTTGACTTTAGGCAATGCTTTGGTCATAATGTCTGCAGTTTGGTCCTCACCCCGGCAGTGAATCAAAGTAACTTCTCCATTGTTTTCAGCCTCCCTTATAGCATGAAACTTTATCTTAATGTGCTTGGTCCTGTTGTGAAGGACTAGATTTTTTGCCATGGCAACCGCTGACTGGTTGTCACACAAAATTGGAGTTGGCCTTCCCTGATTCTGCTTAAAATCTGTCAGCACTTTCCTAAGCCAAACAGCTTGGTTTACAGCTGCTTCAGCAGAAATATATTCTGTCTCTGCTGTGGACTGTGCCACAATATCTTGCTTCTTTGACAGCTAACTAATTGCACTAGAATTGATATAAAATACATAACCTGACGTGCTTTTCATGTCATCAAGTGATCCTCCCCAATCACTGTTGGTATAGCCCAACAACACCAGATTTTCTGCCTTCTAGAACCAAATGCCAAGACTGGATGTCCCTTTCACATATCTCAACACCCTCTTGGCTACCCTATAATGCAATTCACTTGGGCAACTCATGAACCTAGAGAGATAGTTGGTTGCAAACATAAGGTCTGGTAGTGTGGCTGTTATATACAGCAAGTATCCCACCACTTCTAAACAGTCCCTCATCCATTCTTTTCTCACTATCATTCTTGCTTAGTTTCAGATTGGAAACTAATGGAGTATCTGCAGGTTTGGAATTTTCCATGCCAAACTTTATAAGCACCTCATTTGCATACCTTTCTTGGCACACAAAGATTCCATTTCTGGATTGGACAATCTCCATACCAAGAAAATACGTCATCTCCCCCAAATCTATCATCTCAAATTCAGATTGCATGGACCTTTTAAACTAGCTCAATTGGTCTAGATTGCTCCCTGTAATCAGCAGATCATCCACATACAAAGATATCACAATCAAGTCACATTTAGCTTCCTTGACATAAAGAGTATGTTCATTACGACTTCTCACATATCCTAGACTGCTTAGGTGATCATTTATGCGGCTATACCAGGCTCTAGGTGCCTACTTTAGGCCATACAAGGCCTTCTCTAGCAAATACACTTTGCTTTCTTCACCTTTCACTTGATAACCTTTAGGTTGTTCTACAAAAATTTCCTCACTAAAGTAACCATTCGGGAATGCTGACTTGACATCAAGTTGGAAGATTTTCGAACCAAATTAGGCTGCCATAGCAAGGATCAATCTAATCGTGTCATGTTTAGCCACCGAAGCAAATGTGTCAGAGTAATCCACCCCTTGCTGCTATGCAAATCCTTTTGCCACAAGTCTTGCCTTGTGTTTATGGACTGTACCATCAGGATTAACCTTCAGCTTGTAAATCCACTTTACCTGAATTATTTTTCTGTTTTTAGGTCCGTTAGCAAGCCTCCAGGTATTGTTTTTCTCAATCATAGATATCTCCTCTTGCATTGCATTCCTCCAAGCTTCTGACTCAGTAGCTTCAGCATAGTTTCTTGGTTCAAGCATTGCCACATTACACCTTGCATATACATCAGCCAAGGTTCTGGTCCCTCGAACTGGTGGTTCTTCAACCTCTTCAGTTTTAGCTTCTTCAAATAAGTTTTTGGTTGGCTATTGCACTTTGCAGTCAGCATCTATCTTCTTACTCTTCTAATTCCACATTGCATTTTCATCCACCTTTACATCCCTTGTTATAACAATTCTCTTTGTCTCAGGGATGTATACTCTGTACCCTTTTGATTGACTGCTATAGCCAATGAATATGCCAATCTCAGCTTTATCATTAAGCTTAGTTCTCTTCCTTGCTGGAACCATAACATAACACACACTCCTAAACACTTTCAAGTAGCTCACTGCTAGTTTAATTCGATTCCAAGCCTCAGCTGGAGTTTGCCTCTTGATTGCCTTAGTTGGCAGTCTATTCAGGAGATAGACTCCTGTATTGATAACCTCGGCCTAGAACCTTTTAGGAAGTTGCTTCTCTGCCATCGTACACTTAGCCATCTCCATGATGGTTCTATTTCTTCTCTCACTGACCCCATTTTGCTGTGGGGTGTGTGGTGTAGTAAACTGGTGCCTAATTCCAGCTTCTTGACAAATTGAACTGAATTCTTTTGATGTATATTCAGTTCCATTATCATTTCTTATGGACTTAATCTTTGTCCCAGCCTGATTCTCCACCAGCAGTTTGAAATTTCTGAACACAACAGAAACCTCATTTTTCTGCTTCAAAAAGTATACCCATGTCATCCGTGTGAAGTCATCTATGAAGAGTACAAAATACCTGCTCCCACTCATTGATTTAGTCTACGTAGGGCCACAAACATCAGTATGGATCAGTTGGAGTTTTGTTGTTGCTCTCCAGGCCTGATCCGAGGGAAATGAGGGCCTGTTTAGTTTGCCAAGTTGGCAAGCACTACAGAGGGTATTCTTCTCTTCAATCTCAGGTAAGTCCTGGACCATATTCTTATTCTTTAACTCTTTAAGGCCATTGTAGTGGAAGTGGCCAAGTCTTTTGTGCCAGATTTCTGACTCTTCCAGCCTAGTTGATAAAGCTAAGTGGTTGGAGTTTTTCCACTCAACCGAGAAGCTTTTTCCCAGCATTTTTACACATATTAATTCAGTCCCTTCAGGATCTAATATGATGCATGCTTGATTTTGGAAATGTAGAGAATAGCCCTTCTCTAACATGTGCCTAACACTTAATAAGTTTTGGCTAATCCTAAGCACATACAATACATGAGAAATGATCTTGATACCTGACCAGGTTTGGATAGCAACATCTCTTATGCCTTTGACCTCCATGAACTCACCATTTCCTATTTTAACTCTGGAACAATATGAGCTGTCCAAGTTAATGAAACTTTGCAGGTCTGTAGCCATATGGTTGGTGCACCCACTATCAATTAGCCAAGCTTCATTGCTGGTTTGAGCCGTGTAACAGGTGGCCACAAAAAGTTGTTCAGCCTCTTGACATTGTTGCTAGTCTTCTTCAACCCGAGTTTGCTGTGTTGGCTGGCTTCCCTTATTCTTACAAACCTTCTTAATATGCCCAAATTGTTTACAACTTCTGCATTGTATCCATGGTCTGAACTAGCACCTCCTCTCCGAGTGTCCTTTCTTTTTACAGTGAGTGCAAGCTGGAAATTCCTTCACTCCACCTGACTTCTCCCACTGATTGCTACTATTTTCTTTCCCCTTTTTATCCCCAGCATACCTCATAGTTTGTCCTTGTGCAGCTTGCCTTTATGGTTTGCCACCATTGCTCCCTCACTTGTATCTTCTTGCCTCAAGAGCCTTCTTTGCTCTTGAGCTTGGAGAGCATGAACAAGCTCAGTCAATGTGATCTGAGTCATGTCCTTAGAGTCCTCAAGGGAAGAGATTTTGGACTTAAATCTCTCTGGCAAGCTCACCAAAACCTTTTC